ATATATATATATATATATATATAATCAAGCAGGTTAAATATTTAAACACGATTTGCTGTTGATTTTTTAAATGACAGAACTAAAAATGTCAAAGTGAATTAAATAAATTCGATTATATGGTCAAGCTTCTAAAGTTTAAAGACATTGCAAAACTGAACTGATGTCATTAAACATAAAAGACATCGAGGAATTATGAAAAAAAAGAAGATACAATGTAAGAAAATGTGAAATGTAAGTAAAATGTAAACGTGGATTTACTGTAAATTTATGGCGGTCCGAATACAGTAAGCACAGAGGCGCGTAAATTAAGCCTGTAAGTAACAACAATAAGCCGGGGTTGGTTTGGAACACAGCTCAGAGCAAATACTATGATACTCGTGAGTTTTTAAAATAAAAAATTAGAACGTGTTTTTATATTTTTATCAAGCTAAATCAATTTAAATAATTTTTAAATGTAAATGATTTTTGAGCTACACGAAAACCAAACCGGCCGACAACAACACAGACAGTCAGTCAAGCTCATGTTTCCAGGCAGTGTCATTCCACAACACTGTTTTATACACACACACACACACTGACACACACACGCACACGCACACACCAACACGCACAGGGCTTCTCCACTCCGCCGCACTCCAACTTACTGCCAGTTTGGGAGTTGTCTTCCTCTCGTCTTGATTGGCAGAAATTAAACAAGTTGCCATGTCGCTCAGCCTCCTTCGTGTCTTTCTCTCCCACCGCTGATGGAGCCTCAGCCTGTCCGGGGCAGAGCTCCAGTCGCCGGCACCCAGCCCGCACTTTCCGTTCGTATCCCCCCCGACCCGAGCCACCAACCACCAACACCTGGTAGTCCTTGCGCTTTCGGTGCGCAATTGTCGGCGTGCAGATCCCGGCGTGCAGCCCCGTCGTCTGTCTGGAGCTCTCCGCTGTCTCCTCTCCGCTAGCCCTGCAACAAGAAAAAGCCGTTTATGGCGACACACAATGTGAAAAGGGGGCCGATTTAAAAAGGAGAAGAATGCAAGCAAGAACAACAAAAGTCAGTTATAGCAAAGTCTGTGCCTCTCCTCTCCTATCTTCCACCCCCTAGCTTAGCCCACATAATGAGCAGGAAAAAGCTTTATATTTTGTTCACTGGGTATTCACAGATAATTTGAAGCCATTGTTTCTGCCACAGATGGTTCTTTTTAATACAATAACGGTGCTCTTTGTGAATAGCGAGCCCACAATAAAAATCTAAAGCGTCCTCCTGAATAACCATTTTGTTCTCTCTTGTATAGGCCGAACAAAAGCGCCAGTGAGGTAATGGCCTGCCTTATTGAAAGCCTCAGAATGGGGATTTGATAAAGATTTTTTTTCGCTCCTTTTTTCCTTCTTCTTCTTCTTTTTTTTTCTTTTTGCAAAGTACACGGCAATGTCAAAGAGAAACTGACACGGGATAAAAAGGAGGGGGGGAAAGGCTGGAAAAAGTGCTTGCAGTTGCAGATTGCAAAGATATTATTATTATTATTATTATTATTATTATTATTATTATTATTATTATTATTATTATTATGATAACTGGATTATAACTGGCAGAAGGCAGATGTGAGGGGCTGTGTTGCAGAGCTGCAGCAGAGCAGGTCAGGTGCATGTTCCTTTTTTTTTTTTTCTTTTTTTTTTTCTTTACAATGGAGCTTAAATCCAGAATACATTAGCTTCCAGAGGTCTGCTGTGGATTTTGCACAGCGTGTGTCAACTTCTGGACTCCACACAATTAAGTGTCCAGGGTGCAAACCCTTCTCACTTCTCACTACACAATCACAGAGCAAAGATAAATAAATAATAATAATATTGCATGACCTTAAAGTGCTTATAACTATAACTGGGAAATGTCATAAATGCATGGGTGTTAATGGGAAAAGGGGCGGGGGTGACTCATGTAACATGGTAACG